ATTTTCGCGCATATGTAATTGTGCGTTATCATCTAGGAAAATTAATTGGTAGGAATGGTCGTAGGAAAATTAATTTTCTTTAGATTTAACGTATAACAACCAGTTTTTATTTCACGAATTATATATGTTTTGCTTTAAATGTTTTTTACACACATGATCCTTTACAGTGAAAATACAGAATTTTTGGTATTATACGATTAGGCAACATTTTCCGTGGTAGGTATTGGAAATAATAGTTATTTATTGTAAGAGTGTGTATTAGGTAGCGTTTTATCCACGCAAGAATGTTTTAATTTTCTTACGTGGATAAAACGCGACTAACACACGACTGCAATACGTTTTATCCACAATCACAGGCCCAAATTATTCCAAACTTAATTAAAAATTACGCTGGCATTTTTAAACTTGGGCATACAACATTTTTATACCATTTCAAAATGTATAAACGTGTATTAGAACAAAATAAAATTGCTGAAGTAACTACCTCAAGTGCACTTTATTAGACGGAAACGAATGGCCCGCATATGTCATCCTTGTCTAAAAATCGCGTGACCAATTCGGCCACACTTCAGCCAACGCAATGCGCTCGCTGCATCACCTAAATATCTTACACCATGGTATAGGACTTGTTGATAAAAGTTCTTCTACAAATCGATGTACTTTTCATTGCTGTAGAAAAAATAGGGTCATTTTATTTGAAAAAACTGAGTTATAGCTGTTTGTTAATCATCAGTTTCAAAAAATCATATTAGCTTTGCAATTTGACAGTTAACAATTTTGGAAATTTTAAAAAACTCTTCGAACCTTTAGTTATCGAATGCAAGTAAAAATATTCATTTATCCCAAAAGGGTTCAAGGGCAGTGCTGTTTTAAATGAACCCCTGCAAATGAAAATTTTGACCAAAAAATTGACATATGTCAAAAACTGTGACAGATAAGTATCAACAACTAGGTACATTTTACTCAGTTTGGAGAAGAGAATTAAAAAATGTAATAAAAATGAGTGGTTACCATTTAAAATTTCAAAGTTGACGCCAATTTCTCGTAGTTCCGAAAGTTCAGCCATTTTGAAAATAATTTAATTGAACTTAGACTGGTCGATTTGGGTTGTGTACAAAATTTTAAATTCCGATCTGCATTAGAAGTTAAAAAGTTTCTAATGTAGGCCCTAAAAGAATCACCCTGTATAGTTGATGGTGATGCATCTTGCAGAGTATAGGTGGTTTTTATGTCAAGGTTAAAACTACTGGAAAATAATCTCACAGTTTTCATAAATTGTTTGAACATTTATCTTTCAAATTGTTATTCCTTATTTAAGACAACAAGCATTGGAAACACAAATAAATGTAGTATTAACACTAGATATAGAAAACCATTTATTTTGTTCGTGAAAAAATACTAATGTTTAGATTTTCTCTGATGTGTTGATTGGGTTTACAAATTTTATAGTTAGAACCTGAGTTTGACTCTTTGAGTAATACACAAAATGCAGTTCCAAAAAGAGGAAGAAAATCACTTACTTATTACATGTATACTTACATGACAGAATGATAAATCCAAAGGGCTTTTTAATTGTAATCGTATAAATAATTTTTTTCTCAGAAAAAAGTTTAGAAAACGGAAAACTTAAAGTATATTTTTTGTCGGTTTGGACAGCTTTCAAAGTAATTATGTCCTGTTAGCATTCTAACATTTCTGATACGTAATCTAAATTACTCGTTTCTTTTCGTGCTTTTGCAGTGAGTTCGCGACTTATCTATCAAGGAAGGTGTTATTAAACTGTAAGTTGTTACTCGTCGTTAACCTACATCCTACATACACATCGACAGTTCACTTTGTTCGATAGATATCAGATATCGGGAAAAATATCTTCGCTCCGCAGTTGAGTTTGCCAAGACGTGCAATATAATCTGCAACAAAGCTGTTACGTTAGGACAATTTGATAAGACCGCCACGTATTTATCTTGATAAACAAGTCATGTACCGACCAAAAATAGATGATGTGTACATTAGCGCCCTTATCTATTAATTTGAGAACGTTGTGAATACATCAGGCTATAAGACTGTTAAAGGGAACAATGTAAGTGTGTAGATATTTATGCAAGCGTCTTTGTCCGCACTATTTATTAGATAGGGTGCGGCTATAATACTCGTAAATAGCGACTAATGCGTCTCATTGTACGGCTTTTTGTCTGCATCAGAGATTAAGACGAGGTGTTGTTATCTTGTAATTACTCCGCGTTGCTATCGCCCCCATTTAGACGTCTCAACAGATTTTAAGACGGGCCATCGAGCGGACACCTTTTGTTCGGGAGATGGTAGCAAGAAACGAGCTATGACTTATGACCGAAATGAAGCAAGAGGAGGATCTGATGGACAAAACGAATGCTTTTTAGACCACTACGACTCTTTTATTATGATACTGTTGGTTTGCATAATTCTGACGTTGAAAAGAAACTAACCTTGAAGAAGAATTATAATAAGGAACCAGTTTTTGTGGTTTGTGTGCGAAACAGGATAGTACAGTTATATATAGGTATAAAAAACATTTTATTTTTGGAGAAGTCTTTTATACCTACGTATATACGAGTATTTTACGATATTACATAACGAGTAGTAAAAACATTTATTATAATTAAATTTTGTTGTGTTTTTGACAGAGATAGAATCACGTTGTTTTGAGGATGTGGTGTCCCCCTTAGAAGCAACGTGTTTTGAAAAGAAATTTACCAATTATAAAATTAGGGAAGGCCATCAGATATGCGAGTTTAAAAATGTGTGCATAATTTATAGTTATTACATTTTTGTTATAAAAATAGAAACTACGTGTAGTGTATTAATCCAGCGTTTGTTTGCGTTTTGAGGATTTATAATATAGATCATAGGGCTCTAAAATAAGTTCATTTACATAAATAACTTTTTACGTGTGATTAGTAATTTTTACATAGGCAAAAATTAAAAAGATTTTTATTAGATAACATGTAAATTTTTTTTATTTGTTGCATAATTAGCCATTATAGCACACACAATAATTTTAATTATGATTTAGCAGTCTATTTTTTTAGGTACTTGAATATACAGTGGGCGGCAAAATTATGGAATAATATTTAATTCAAATTGAAAATATTTTGTTTTTGCAAGAATGCTCGAACAGGTCTTTTTTTTAAATATACAATTTTCAACTTGATTCCAAATTTTACACTCTTTGGTTTTTGAGTAATGACGTTATGGACAAAAAAAATCTTTAATGGAAACTCCTAATTTTTGTTAGCCAATTCGATAGATCTTTTAATTGCTCAAATGATAATACCACAATATTGAATATTAAGTAAGTACATAAAGTTTTCATTCAAAAAGTGAAATAATATCAACAAAAAACAAAAGCTATTTATGCAACATGTTGCAAAATAAGCGTGTTTTTTACTAGACATGAAAATGCGAAGACGTCGTGTGCAGAAAACAGCCATTTTGTACGGTATTTCATACAAGATTTTTTCCAATTTGGTTGTGAAAAGCATGGGCATCAAATTCGAATTTTATTTAAATGTGATTTTAATAATTTTCGAAAATCATACTAGTGTTGGGGGGTTGCTGAAAATATTGTTATTTGTTATCTTTATGTCACACTTTTTAATACTAGTGAAAAAATAATGTCAACTAGTGATAAAATTAAGCACATTTCACAACTAAAATGACATATCATAATGATTGCTTTTCACAATCAAATTGTAAAAAACATACAATTTCAAATCAAGCTGAGAATTTTGTGTTAAAAAAATGATCTGGTCGAGCATTTTTGTCAAAACAAAATATTTTCAGTTTTAATAAATAAGATTATTCCATAATTTTGCCGCTCAGTGTATATTATCTTGAATAGCTTAGAATTTGCGGTGAACTTACGGGTAATCCATTCGAAGCCATAATTGTTTTATTAAAAATAAAAAAACCTAACCGAAATAATTAGCTATTTATGCATTCTGTTGCGGTCAACACTAAATCGCTCACTAAATTGAACCATCAAAGTAAACTTTTGTTTAATTTTGGATAAGAGAGCGAATATTCTTACAGATGTTTGTTAAGTGTATGAATTAAAAGCAATTCAGTTGATATGAAATAAAGCGTTCGGGCACATACGATAAACTCTGACGCGCGAATCCTTGTGCGCCGAGACGGGCTTGGAAAAAAGGAAATTTTAAATTTTTGAATCCAATACTGAAATTGGCACTTAATGGTTTACACTGTTGGTACGTTGATAGGAGTACATTCTTATTACTCTTTATTGAGAAGCTTTTAAATTTTAATTTTTGTAATTATTACTACTACATACATCATTAAAAATATTTGCTCAAAAAACAGCTTATGCAGTACTGAATGTGCTATTTTAAAAATATGTGTATTGCGTACCTACATAAGTTAAATTTATTATTTTGATTGTTATTGTTGGGTTTTAATACACTTTTTAAGATATCCTTATTTTTCTATAAAAGTAAAAACAGCAACTATTATCCTTTGTTCCACTTAATAAAAGAAAAGATTGAGTCTGGTCGTGTGGCAAACGTTCTTAATGTTAAAAAAGTTTGGTCACCTTTTTCAAAAGTGTACTAAACGCGTCGATTAAATTACGACATTTTGCAGAAGTAATTCCCGTTTTCTTGAATATTCAGAAGATCTGATAGTAAAGAAACGAGTCTATTATTCATGAGCTTTTCGTCGTAGAGTGCACTCGAATAAACGTTAATTATTTGTTTGTTATAACACCGCTGTCGTAGCTTAAATAGTAAAAGCCCCATTAAAAATAATCAGTGCAGCGATAGTCACGCATGTAATAATACATAGAGAATGTCCATGACCGTGGCCTCCTGGAGTTGAAGCTTTGGAGTAGAAGATATGAGTGATTCACGTCTGTGTGCATGAGGTTTCGCGTACGCGGGGGCAGCGCCGCGATGAATCAGTGCACCACCGTCGTCGAGTCCGCTTTCCATTGGTCGGGTACAACGTGGTGGTGCCGGCATCGGCGTCGGTCAGGGCTACGGAGAGTGAAACCTCGGCGGCGCTTGCGTCGGAAACCGAAAGTGAAAAGCGAAAAGGAGAGAGCCCCACTCCTTCCCCTACCTTTCGCTTTCGGGTGTCCCCGTCGAGCACTTTCCCCAGCTTGTGCATCAGAGTTGCAGTAGGCTTCCGAAAGAGCCGCTTGCAAGACGTCCAGTGAGTCGTAGACGTAGACGCATCTCGCGCGATCCTCCTCCCCTCACTATGGCCCCGCGCCGCCACCTCGGCCAAGTTCAAGGCCTCATGGGCATCGATCCCGAGGACGCCGGCGTGACCCGGTGCTGCGTGCCCACCGGCGACTGCCTGCGCGCCCAGCAGCAGATCAGCCCCAACAACAACGACTCCATGCTGATAGCCCTCGACGACCTCCGCGACACCGTGCGCGTCACCTGCAACAACGAGCTCTGCACCAACGGCAGGTACATGCACCGCGAGTGCTTCGACCAGTGGGAGCAGACGGTGCTGGCCTACCTCAAGACTTGCGGCCGGGCGCGCTCTTGGTCCGAGCGACAGCGACATCAGAACCTCTGGACCAAAAAGGGCTACGATTTGGCCTACAAGGCCTGTGGTTGCAAGTGCGGCCGCGGACATCTCAAAAAAGACTTAGACTGGATGCCGCCGCCGCCCACTAGCAATATTTTCGGACGAGTCGAAGACATCTCCGAAGCCGTTACCGGCAAAAAGAAAAAACGCAGAAATAGAAATTCCAGGCCCACGTTGGCCATCTCGGCCGCTCACGCCGTCACCAATGAAAGCAGAGGAAGAGCCGGCAGTTTGTCCTCAAGTACGGGATCGTCTTCTCCACCAGCTTCCGGATCCGAACCGAGTATATCGCCGGTACACGCGCACTCCAAAAAGAAATCCAAAGTTGAAAATTCTGACAAAAGCCGGTAAGTGATGCAACATCTAATTGACTGTTATTAAACCCGAGCTTTCGACACAAAGCTTTCGCCACTTTAAAACTTGTCTGTAATTTATTATTCATTTTATCCCTCCCAAATTTTACAACTCTTCAAAATTTTAATTCTGGCCATACCTACTCCAACTTCTGTAATTGCTTTGTAAATTGTGAGAGTTTTTTTAGACGCTGTCACAAATAATCCAGGAACAAATAAATTTACACACATTTCCTTAATTTGATTTTTATTCAAATTTCTTGGAACTGAATTTTACCTACACATTTATTAGCGTAAACATGACCTGGATTGAGTTGCTAAATTTACAACTCCGAATGTTGCAATCTTCTGTCACCAAGAATGCCTCCCAAAGCTAATTATTATTTTTTTGCTGCCGGTGTTATCACATCTCAGCTTGAGCTATATATAATCTTCCCATAATATTTATTCTTGCCTTTCTGCGAGATAAACTTTACACTTTTCATCATTTCTTATCTTCCAAGTTTGAAGTTGGCTTTGTTTATTTGGTTTTGTTCCGTTCGGGTTTTCATGAATGGCGGAAAAGCGGTTTTGGTCTCCGCTAGGTCAAGGTGAAAAGCCGTTTGATAAACGCGCCTATCGATTTCCCGGCGACGGCCACGCAAAAATCTGTCGTCTTCGCCACCCTCACTGCTTCGCCCGTTGTGCAAGCCCTTGAAATAGCGTTTTGGATGCCGTGCACGTGCATTGACGGTATGCTGGCAAAACGCCGGCATTTGCACCAAAATGTGACAGTTTCGGTGAATTCTGCATGAAATTGATTGTTTCATGTTAAATTTTGCAGTGTGTTGTAATTTGAGATAAGAACTGAATTATTGTTTTTTTTTATCATTATTTGTTGGAGAGGTTGAGGTACTAGGTATATTTGTCGAATTATCGTATCAATAAATATTTGAAGTTATTTAATGTTATTGGTAGTATAATTAAAAAATGAAAGAACCGTGTAGCGTTTGCTTTGATGTGAGAAGTGGGCTTCTGTATTTCCATTTGATAAGATTTTTTTAATTTAGTTTGAGTCACTTTAAATTGGCTCTTGTGGAATTGATTCTGGGAAAACGTCTTTTTAAAGTTTTATTCGCCGAGGAAGAATTTGGTTTTGTCATCTTTTTGTTATTTGAATACTTTTCTAATTTATTTCTATTTTCGTACTTATTATATAGCTGGAGAAAATTACTCTTGTTATGTATACCGATTTTTATGAAGGAAAAATTTCATTGCACTCTTTGCTATAAATGTGTCGATAAATATAGAGAATAGAATAGTGTTAGGATGAGGACTTCATAATACATATATCAATATTTATTAATACTACGATCAATTTTATTACAGCCGGAAATTTCATTTTTTTTTTTAATTATAAAAAAGTATAGTGATTTTGAGGTATGTGCAAATATTTTAACAGGTGATAGTAGCCCAAAAGCAGTTAAAATAACTTAACTTGCCTTATCCCAGTGTTTTTTGAGGGTTTTGTTCGCTGAATAAATTTAAATTTGCGGCACAGCCTTTACCAACTCAAATTGTAAACAATTATGATCTCTAAGGTTAGTTCTTCAAAATATATAACATTGTTTAAAAAAATACTTAGTTAAAATTAGCAAAAACAGGCACAGAAAAAAGTGTCTTCCACAAAAAAAAATATAAAAAGGTTATTTCCCAATTTCATTATCTCAAATGTTACCGATTACTAGCAATGTAAACTTTGAGATAAAGTACCCAAAAGGTTCAAAATTCGTTTGTGTTGCATTATTTGGATATTTTTTTTGACGCCAATGTGGAGGGTTCACCCTTTATATCTCAGAAACTATAAACATTCGGATAAGGCAAGTTTACTTCTTTTGATTTCTTTTGAGGTCTCCTATCACCTGTTAAAATATTGGCACATACCTCAAAATCAATCTGTATGTAGGTATTTTCGAATTTATTAATTGCAAAAATAGTTCAAAGTTTGAATTTGTAAAAATTTGATTTATAAGTTTATCATTTACAAAACACATTCAGAATTCCTTGGACTCTACTTTATAATATAACATATAAACTGCTTTTTTGACTAAAAAATTGTAGCTACTTTTTTACGATAAAGTAATATAATAATTTAATCAATA